TCTGTCTCAATGTACTGAAACCGGGGGAGGTTTGAGGGGCGGAGAGAGTTTGTGGTAAATGCAAGGCTTGCATGAACCACGTTGCAATGGTTTTTCCCCGACCCTCGCCTTGATTAGTGGCCCACCATTTGTGTCAACTGTATGACTAAGATGTTGAATGCACATGCTTAGGTGTAAAAATAAGTGTTCATGTATTTTATCTAAGCGTGATACAAACCTCTTGGTAAATCGTTATAGGTGCTGTTAAGACTGTTCTATTCCATAATTGTTCTATCATTTTGCCATTGAAATATACAGCTCTGTTAGACTGTTCTATTCCATAATTGTTCTATCATTTTGCCATTGAAATATACAGCTCTGTTATTTTTATTTTGCCATTGAAATATAAAGCCCTGTTATTGTTGTAAATTAATCAGCACAGCTCTGTCTTGTGCTTGGATGATGTTGAAGCTGTAACTTCTGTTTGAGCAGTGTTTGCAAATGATTGTGGGTTACAGATCTCATTTGAGCTGTGTATTTTCCGTCTTGGAGCACTTTGCTTGGTTGCTGTGTCTGTCTGTCTCTCTGTCTCTGTCTCTGTCTCTGTCTCTGTGTGTGTGTGTGTGTGTGTGTGTGTGTGTGTGTGTGTGTGTGTGTGTGTGTGTGTGTTGTGCCAAAGAAAAGCGTTCTTAGATGCACTTTCCTTCCGACCTGTTAACCACAAACACCTATAGCACACACAAACACACAGTTGCTTGCAAGTCATGTCACAAAGTCCACCATGTGTATTAAAAGACTGCTAAACTAAATGATTTGTCGCTACTCCATAAATGACTCTTCATAGTATTGTGGTGATTGACATTATTCACCCACGGAACTATGGGTTGGGGTATTGTTCCGCACGGACATAGTGAGTTGACCGGACCCTTGTTTCCCCGGTCTGTTCTTCCCGGGCTAAAAGCTGTTTTACATGTTGACCTGATGTTAAATAAAAGTCTAGCTTGTACCTTCGATACCCCGCCTCCGACTCCCGTCTCTCGGCACTACATTGGTGACCCCGACATAAGTCTCGTAGACGGAGGCGGGGTATCGAAGGTACAAGCTAGACTTTTATTTAACATCAGGTNATTATAATCTACTCAACTCAGTTTCGTGGAATTTGTTGACATAACTTTATTTTTTGAGTGCAGGTTAAAAGGATAAAACTAAAAACAAACAAAAAACAATATCACCTCACAACTTCCCCACGATATTTACTTACGTCAAGTCAGTATTTTCCCCTGAAATGTTATGTTTAAATGCAGATTAGCTTTAAATCTATAGATACCTTCAGACAGGTAATAAAACGAACACCATTTATATGTATTTTTTGGAAGTTTTCTTTCCATTAGATCAGGGGTGGGGAACAATAACTGGGCAAAATCAACCGTGAGGAAAGTGGACAAGAAAAAAGAAGAACAAGCATTGCAACTGAGGAGACAGAAAGAAGAAGGATCAACAAGCAGCATCACACCAGCAGTGTCCGCTACATCAAAAAAGGCACCACCACAGAGGAGACGCAAAAATGGAAAAAAATGCCAGGGGAAGAAGACCAGGAGAGGGAGGAAGGGGCAGAGAAAACGTGCGTGAGGAATAACAAGACAAATCAAAGATACCGCAGTCAGCAAACATTACTCTTTCCTTGTGTAATTGTCCTGCTATACTGCATACATATTAAATGAACCTGAAACTGATTTTTATATTTTATTTGTATTCATGATCAAATATGCATTGTATATATAAATATTTGTATATCGTACTTTTTTCCAATCAACTGCAAATAAAGTCTTTTTGAGCAAATGTGGTGTTTTTTTGAGCAGATGGAACATAATGCGAAAAAATGTTTGTATGTTGTAGTATTTTTTTTTATTTACACTACCTGTTCTGTGTGTGACGCACACAAAGTACCAAAGAAACCATACAGAACTGAATGTCACAGTCAAGATCAAGCTGTGATAATAGAAATGTAAAAAGTACTGCAATTGGTTATATGTTTTAAATATACTGCCAGTCCAAAAAGAAAGTAACCAACTGGATTTAACTAACCAAATCTTTTCGAGCCTTCCAATGGATAATTACTGCAGTGATTTATATACTTCAGCTGGCAAAAGTTATTTAACCCTAATTGATGCAGCTTCTCATTTCTTAAACAACCATGTCAGAAGACATGTCCTGTGGTCGGAAAGGATGTTAATCAGTTTCAGAAGGGTCAAATAATTGGCCTGCATCAAGCAAAGAAAACAACTAAGGAGATTGCTGACTCAAATTGGGTTAAGAACTGTCCAACGCATTATTAAGACCAAATCAATGAATCTTGATTTACCCTGTTCCAGAGTGATGGGCTCAGGGTAAGAATAGAGGCGAATTAAGTGATGCACCGATCATGATACCACATGTGGGGGCAGTGTTATGATATGGGGTTGCTGCAGTTGGTCAGGTCTAGGTTCAGCAACATTATGTTATTAATGTTATGTTCCCAAAGAATGGGGTCATTTGACCATATGAATATAGTGAATGACCAGGTCTTCCCTTCATTCCAAGATTTTGGCAGAAAATGTATGCAACTCTGGACAGAAATACATTTTGTGATCGAAACGATGCCACGGCGACTGTGTGCCGTACTCAAAGCTAAAGGCGGTCCAATTAAATATTAGAGTGTGCAACTTCTTTTTTGACGGGCAGTGTATTTCATAAATATATTACTTAGTACCCTTCCTCTAATGGAGTCTAAACCTACACATAATTTTCCACATCACATCTAAAGTTGCAAACTAGTAAAGCTTCTATATTTGTACCTGGTGTCTAAAAGTCACGCAATATAAGTGTTCATATTTCCTTGTAATGTCAATGCCTTTCAAAGATTTTGTTTGGTTTTATTTGAAACTGTGGGGTCCCATGCCACCACAACCACCACATCCTGAATACTCATGCGAGCATCTGTCTATGTAAGTGCATGTTCTCTGTAACCTAATTCAGCAGAAGAATTATATCGAGACCGTTTCCTCTGTTCTAAGAAAAATAAACAGTGTCACAAAACTGTATATAAAAGTCATGCTAAACTGGGCATGTATGACCACTGTCAGAGTCGGTAGAAACACACAAATGAACGTTAATTATACCAAGTATGTTATGTTTTCATGTGAAAGTGGATAAATCCATAGATAATCATCACTCAACTGCTGTTCCCCTCATTTTAGCACGTTATTGCTTTGGTTTCACACCAACTATGATATCTGTTTCACTTTCAACGCTCTCACCTACAGTTTCAACAAACAAACGTTCATAAAAACACCACTCTGTACATTAAAAACAGGCAGACAAAGTTGGTGACCAGCTAATAAACAAAGTGCAGTGTTTAACAACAATGGAGCTAGGTATTTTCTCAAGAGCTAAAACAAGCAAACATGTTTGACTTACATTCATCAGATTGTCGGAAGCAGACTCAAATTGAATGCTAATGTTGCTTTATGTCATCAATTTAAAACCGAGTCATAAAACTTATATAAAACACATAATGAAATCTGATGTTGTACACGAAAAAAAAACATTCTTAGGTTTCAGGATGAGGCAAAAAAACATTTGGGTAGACTCAGAAAAGATAGTGGTTTGGGTAAAAAATAGGTTTAGGGTTAACTTGTAAAGTGAAAATTAGTTGTTATTTATTAACAAATCTTTCTTAACCTTTTGCATGTTACCTTTATAATAGACCAATGTGACGTTTATAGCTTATTACTCTCCTGCCATGTTGGATAAAAACAATGGTTACAGGTTTACCAACCTGTAGAATATAGAGATTACTAAAAATGTATAGATACAGGGGTAAATGTCAGTCAAAAGTATCCTTAAGGTATTGGATTTCACAGGCCAATCCCATGCCTATTGTTGAATTGTGTTCGTTGTTCTCGCGTCCAGGAGAGAAGTTAAAATAAAGAGACTAATGGAGTCTCTGAAAGGTTCAATTTGGTACTTTAATTAAGTAGAGTGGTAATGAAACAAACAGAGGAGTAGTGGAGAACAGCAGCTGTTGTCTCGAAGTGTTTCCGGTGGAAAGAGAGCGAACTAGGGGCCCTTCTCACTTCGGTTAAATTGATTCCTTGCGTCCTTCACTTGGTCGTTTCCCTGCGACTACTAGTCCCTCCCACCAGGGAAGAATGGAGAGACGCAAGGAAACCACGAGAAGCAGGGAAATTAGTTTTAAGCTATGGTTTTAAGAGCAATGGGACGTCCTTTCCTCCGGAGCGTCACGTGAAGCGACGTCCGTTTGTGAGCAGGCTTGTTTGACAGCTTGATAGCTGTTTAACCCGGCCGCAGGCAGACGCGCAGCGGTGGCGGGCACGAAGTCCTCAGCAGGCGTTGAGGTATCCCCGGGAAGCAGGAGAGCATCCCGGCCGCAGGCAAACGCACAGCGGCGGCGGGCACGAAATCCTCGGCAAGCCTTGAGGTATCCCCGGGAGGCAGGAGCAGTCTCCCCGGGAGGAAGGAGCCGTGGACAGATGAGAGGCCAGACAGGGTCCCCGGTCCCGGGGCGCGCCACCCATGGGCCGATGGAGCATGGGCGACGTCCGGAACCGTCGAGGCGATACGGGGGTCCAGGAGAGCACCACCCAGGCGCCGATGAAAACGTGAGTGCCTTCTGGAACCGCCGTCGAGGTGGTGAAAAAGGTGAGAGTGTCCACACGAGGTCAACCGGCTGATCGAACCTCCTCTCCGGCACCAGAAAAAAATTGTTAACAGTCAGATGTTAACAGAAATACGTCAACAGCTGTTAACAGCTAGCCGTTAGCCGTTAGCTGCTAGCCGTTAGCCGCTAACTGGCAGTCATGGGTAGCTGCTAGCCGTCGTTAGCCCCACGTGGTTAGCCGCTAGTCACCATCAGCTAGCGCAGCCAGGACGTGCAGCCGCACGCCCTGAAGAAAACAAACCCACGAGGCAGCAATCGGGTTGCTGGTCGACCCAGCAG